AACAAAAACAAACCAACATAGAAACAAACAAACAGTTCTGGTTTGAAGAATGAACGAAGGAGTTGGGTTGTTTGTTTGTCTTGTACTGCTTTGTATATTTTATTGCTAAATTTGTTCATAGTTAGTGGAGGTGTCGCCTCTATTAACTATGATTTCTTTATTGATTTATTGTTAGTAAACTTTCTTCTATGAATTGATTGGCTTTCTTTCTTGGGCCATACTACTCAGTATGAAATTGATTTTAGAAATCATTTACAGGAAATTAAGAAAAATATATCAACGCGAGAGAGGATTTACCTACATGCATGTGTTAAGGGCCAAAAACACCTTTGACCGTCTACATTTTGAAGGATATTTGTCTGGTCGAGCTGGAAGGCGTGGGCTTTTCCAGACCAATGCTGGTCTGTTACAGATGAACAAGCAACTGGCCGTTACATTTTTGTTTTGTGAAAATGATTAATCAAATGGCCTTGCTTCTTTTCTTAATGACTTATTGTATCTTTGACTATGATAAACAAACAAACAAACAAACAAATAAATAGTGGCGTGTTAAAGGAGCCACAAGAAGGCCATGAAAATTCAATCCCTTTAACAGGTGTAGAGAGAAATTGAGTACTAGCTTATTTGCTTGTTGGTTTGCTTTTGTTTCGCTTCATTGATTGCTTGAGTTATGATCAAAAGATATTTGCTAACCCAAAGACATGCAAAAATTGAAGAAAATACTATTGCTTGACATTTGATCGATTGATCGATCGACTGAGTGATTGATTGATCCCGATTGGTCGATATTTGTCCTTTGCCTGGGCCTGACTGCATAGGTCGTGGTAATTTCTCCTTGAGTATGTAGTTAATTAGTGGTTGTTTATCTATCCATTTATTTATTTTTTTTTATTTTGTTAGGCTCCTTACTTCGGGCAGAACTAAAATGCAGAGATGCTTTGCAGGTTCTGCAGCTGGAAGGATGGCAAAGAGCTTTGGAAGTCCTAAAGATGGCGAATGAGTCACTGAAAACAGTACAGAAAGAAACCAAACGCAGTGAATTCTTCAAGCTTACTCGGAGCTCTTACCTCTTTGTCCAGGGTGAAGTGTACCACAGAGCAGGGAATATGGCAAAGGCGCTAAGAATCTTGCATCGGTCTCTGAAGATAATGGAAGACATCCTACAAAGTCACACCAGTACTACCAGATGCCTGAACGCCATCGGCAATTGCCACAGCAAGCTGGACCAACCAGATGAGGTGATAAAGTTCTATACTAGAGCTTATGAAATGAGGCAGGAGCTGTCTGGCTCAATGAATCACTTTGACATGCCAGCTTTTAAAGGTCAGATCGGTACAGTCTATGAAGGAAAAGCTCAAATCTATCGAAAAGATGGACAGGACGACGAAGCAAGCAAGCAATTTCGCAAGGCAAACGAATGCTATCAAGAGGCCTTAGAACTCGCTAAGGAACTCAAAATACCAGGAATGTTAAACACAGCGATATTGAACAGAAACATTGCAAACACGTACGCATGGCTAAGAGAGTTTGAAGAAGCCTGCCAACCTGCAAAGAACGCGTACGAAATCAGTAAGGACATTCTAGGAAATCATCCTGACACTGCACGAAGTGCCTTCCAAATGGCAGAACTTTGTCGAGGTTTAGAGGACTATGATGAAGCGGAAGATTACTACGAACAAGCTTGGAAGATTGAAAAATCTCTGGGACAAGGAAACCACAGTGAAGTTATGGTCAGAATCATTGAAGCTTACGAAGCGTCGCTTACAGGCTTGAGGAAGGAAGAATTTCAAAAGGAAACGTTTGAGTTTTATCAACGTTGCTGGAACGAAGAAAGAGAATTCGAAGGATTTGAATTTTCTTTGGCCAACAGGAAAGTCATTGATTCGATTAACAGACGGCTTGGTGGCTTGGCTGACAGGCAGACGCAGAAGAAATACCAAAGAGAAGCTCTTTGGTTCTACGAAGGGGCATGGAATTCTCCAGACACAAAACAGCGACCGGATCGTCACAGAGAAGAAATTCTTCAAGACCTTTTGCGCTTGTGTACCATTCTCCGTGAGAAGGATCTGCTCAAAAAGTACGAAGCCGAGGCATTCAGATTTTATGAAAAGCTGTGGAAAAACAACAAGGGAAAGATGGAAAAGCAAGATAGAATAGACATTCTCACCAAGCTTGAAAACTACGCGTCATCACTTAAGGACGAGAAGAAGGCTCAGCAGTATGGGATCTTGTTAAAGGTATTTATTGAAGTATTAAACTCTTGTACACGTAAGCGTGTAGTATAATCGAAGAATGGCCGTTCTGGACGAGGCCAAACTATCTGCAGCTTTCCTTCGCCAGATATTTATTATTTGTCTTTTTTTTAAGTACGCTTTTTTTTTTTCAATCTATCAACAGTCAAACAAACGGAGCGCTACACTTGAAGGATCCCTTAAATCTCTTTTCTCATTTGGATCAGCAGGTATTTTGGTATCACTGACTATTTTGTAAACTATGTATAGCGATGTAATCATTTCTTGATCGATCTTAGGTGGAAAATTGCTTGGCATAGGAATTGCTTTAATTCGACCTCATTCACGTCGGCAAACAATAAAAATAACTTTGAAGAAGGTTTTGAGCACTTGCCAAGTTGTAATGGAGGGGAAATTATCGTTAGTGCTGATATTGAAACCAACCTTAAACAGCAAATGTTAAATCATTGTGGTCAACAAACTTATTCCTTAACTCCTTCCCCCCCTCCAACCGTAGAAACGTTTAAGATTGGACTCTGGAGATCGCAAGATGATGTCGTAGCTTAAATACGTGTAGTTTGTTAAAGATGTGTTACTTTAAGTTGAAAATAAATAAATAAATAAATAAAAAATAAAAAAAATACACAGAGAAAAAAAAATGTCGTAGCTAAAAAAAGTCAATGAAGAGTGTTATTTTTTTCTCTCGCGGAAGGATTAACCAATATGAGAATCTTTACGGACTTATGCAGAGTTATGGCAGAATAACTTAGTTTTATAATAATTCAGTTGTTGGTAATTTTCCTGCGTTTATTAGCAAAGTGTTGTATTATTGGTAAAACATCACTAAAAATCTTGAGTAGCTGAATTTCGGTTTCCTCGGTTAAATTAGCTGAAAAGCTGTCTAGCGATGACGATGATGATTCTGATAAAGAGGTCGATGATCAAGACGATGATGACGATGATGACAATGATGACGATGATGATGATGATGACGATGATGGTAGTAATGGTAGCCAAGACCTCACTGAACAGTTATCACAACTTGCAGTTGAACAGCAGGAGCTGGAGGAGCTAGAGAATCCAGATGATCAAGAACCAGACAAGATAAAAATACACGAGTGAGTATTACAAACCGAAGGCATACTGATGTTGGATAGGAGTATTGACCAAAAAATACTCTTTTGACCCAAACTATAATTTGATGTCCGCAGATGATGGTTCGTTATCTTATATTCTGATTTGCCAGTTCCCTCTATGAGACGTGCCTGCAGGGAATCATGGTATTTGTATTCATTATCTTGGACTGGATATCTCATAGGGGGAATTGGCCATTCTTTTGCTTCTGCCTTTTTTCATGCGTATCAACAGGTTTGTCAGTCGATGATGATGACAATAGCGCGTCATAGTGCGTTTTGAAACGGCAAAATGGCGTGAATTTAGTGATTTTTGTGTAGTTCTGATCCCGCGTATTCGTATTTAGCGTATTCAAGCTTAATATGTACTGTTATGCCGTGAAATTATCATTCGTAGACTCCATGTTTAAATTTCCGACGACGCAGCGTCGATTGAAACAAATTACCATAGAGTAACATAGTGGCAAGCTGGTTATTAAAACCGAAAACCAAATCCTTTCGAATTGGACCCAGCTGGGGAGCTATCTTATTAAAATTCAAGAGAACCCATAAGTTTTCTTTATAGTCTACTCTGTTGTTCAGTCGAGATTCATTCTAAAGTTCGGTTAAACTGCTTCCTCCTCCTTCCATTCAAATTTGTTTGAAACAGTGTTATTAATTTGAATATTAATCATATTAACGCAAATCTAGGTATACAGAACTGTTATTGCTACTTAGGGCCGGGCAGGGTCGGATTCTAGTGCTTGATATTGCTCTTTTGCAGCATGCAGGTCACAACATTTGCTAGTACCTATAAGATTCAAGCATCTCAATGAGTTTTGCCTTATCTTTGATATGTATTGTCCAACTATAGAAATCCGTGTGCAATTGAGACATCGTAGCAATTTGACCAGAACAATAGCAATTAGAAGCGATCGAGTTTAGTTGTTTTTAGCTTTTTTCTAATGTACTTCCTGTCAGGTATTTGAATCAGTGTGCATATTCATGCTTTCCCAAAGCATTTCATTTACATGTAACCTGCACGACTGTCTTCGTTTTCAGAGGAACAGTAACTAGCGAAGACACCCACTGGGATCTGGAAAAGTGGGCTGTGCACATGACATTCCCTCGTGATGCTGTATCTGAGCCCACCGTGATAGAGATCCACAAATGGAAATCCACTGCTTGTTCACCCCAACTCCGAGAACATGAAGCTGTTGTCAGCAACGTGATTGAAATCTCAACGAGCAGTGATGAAGCTCTGGAGTTCCAAGCTGAGGTGAAATTGACACTCTCTCACAGTGCGGCTGACCTGCATGGCTATGAACTGGTGATATTCAAATTAATTAACAAGGAGACAAATGAATGGGAGGACGTACGTGAAACTGAAAGATTTCAGAGTCTGTCAGGTTAGCAAGGTTCCTTTTTAATTTCCATACGCCTTTATCTTAGATACACGATGTGGAGGTTCGTTAGTAGAATGGTTAATCCATTGTCATTGGAATTCCTCCTCCATGATGATGCAGATACTGCCAAACTGTTGGCAAACCTGGGAAAATGTCCTTAGTTATTTTGCCATTGAGCTTGCACCTACCGGCAACTTGACTAGCGATCGACTAGGCTATTTTTGGTGCGCCAGTTTTATCGATGCCCTCCAACTAACTGAACGCCTGGAGGAGGGTAATGGTAGTCTCTCATCGTTCCAATTTTTGAACATGTATAGAGTGTTCACATGATATAATTAGCCAATCGGATTTGTCAAAATAAGCTCTGGCTCTGCATAGATTGACCGTAAGTCTGTGAATGGCAACGCTCGAATTACAACCGGCCAGACGTTGCGAATTTTGGTTCTACCCTAAAGAACTGCGATCTCTGTAGAGGAAAATGGCTCATGATGTCATATTTCTTTTTCTCAACATATTAATAACAGAAATGGAAGACGAATATCCGTCGGCCAGAGATTTCCCTGACTTTCACTTCCCCATTGTGCAAGCTGAGATAACAGAATGCTCAACATACGCGGTAGTCTGTCGACTCAAGTCATCTCCATCTTATGACATTACATCTAACGGTGGTTCCTTTAACCTGCCTGAATATCCAAATGTATGCGTTACCATCCCTAAGAAGGCTGTTGCGCCAAAAGCAAAGATTCCGCTGCAAATAAAGGTAGGCGTACTTTCACGGGGTAGTGCATTGGTGATCGACCATGTAATCTCCTTTCAATACGCTAGAAATACTACCACCAGTTACGAGTTTGGGCTAAATGTGTATAATTCTACATATCTGTGCAGTGGAACTATTACGATGTGACCACCTAGCTCGCTATCGCGGCTACCTTGGCCAGAAAAGAACTTAGTCAGGCTCTACTGAGCTATATAGTCTATCAAACATTTGTTAGGTATCTCTTGAGATCATGGCTTTTTGTTTGTGTCCTCGCGCCTCTAGGTACACGAAATTCCTCGTGAGGAATTTAAAGGCCAAGAGGTTGTGGTTGGACCTATTTTGCGAATCTCCTGCAGTGAAGTCGTCGAGTTCAGGAAGCCCGTCACGATCCAGTTACCAGTTTCTCTAGGAAACGAACAGCTCGACATTCCTGACGTGTCACAATGCCATATTAGAGTACTGTTTCTGAGGTCCGAGGAAGGACGAAAGGAATGGGTTGAAATCACTGAAGATGTGAAGAACTCGACTAGATTTGACGGAGAGACAGTTAGATTCCAGGTTCATCGTTTCTCTGGGTACGAATGTAACTCAACTTTGTTTACAATCCATTCATTACAATCTGTGGAGTGATTTATCTTTCAATAATTTCAAATAAAAGATCACACCATCACTTTTGAAACTGGCTCATCTGAGAGGTGAAGCCGTCGCAACTGAAAGTTTGTTTTCGCTTTGATTCGCACTAACGAAGTGGAAAGCTTTGGTTTTATGATTATGACTCGATGGGTTTGTTAAAAAACGTGACAATACACATAATCATTTGGCTTGCTCTTGTAGCCGATATAACGCGCGCTCTGATTGGCTAGTTGTAGCGCATTATTTTCCCGTAATGCCCGCGGGCCGATTACGAGTCTGCAAAAACAAAGCAAAAAGCCGTATAATAAACAACTTATTATCCTCGAACGTTTCGTCCTTACGGAAAAATCTCAAACCTCGGCCTTGCCGTATTGACCGAGCGTTAGCAAGGTCTCGGTCTNCAAGACCTCACTGAGCAGTTATCACAACTTGCAGTTGAAGAGCAGGAGCTGGAGGAGCTAGAGAATCCAGATGATCAAGAACCAGACAAGATAAAAATACACGAGTGAGTATTACAAACCGAAGGCATACTGATGTTGCATAGGAGTATTGACCAAAAAATACTCTTTTGACCCAAACTATAATTTGATGTCTGCAGGTGATGGTTCGTTATCTTATATTCTGATTTGCCAGTTCCCTCTATGAGACGTACTTGCAGGGAATCATGGTAGTTGTATTCATCAACTTGGACAGGATATCTCATAGAAGGAATTGGCCATTCGTTTGCTCTTGCTTTTTTTCATGCGTATCACCAGGTTTGTTAGTCAATGATTATGACAACAGCGCGTCATAGTGCGTTTTGAAAAGGCAAAATGGCGTGAATTTAGTGATTTTTGTGTACTTCTGATCCTTCTTAAGCTTATTCAAGCTTAATATGTACCGTTATGCCGCGAAATCATCTTTCTTAGACTCCATATTTAAATTTCCGACAACGCAACGTCGATTGACACAAATTACCATAGAGTAACATGGTGGCAAGCTGGTTATTAAAAATGAAAACCAAACCCTTCGTATTGGACCCAGCTGAGGAGCTATCTTCTTGAAAGTAAGGAGAACCCATAAATATACTTTATAGTTTACTCTGATGTTCATCCGAGATTCCTTCTAAAGTTTGGTTAAACTGCCTCCTCCTCCTTCTATTCAAATTTGTTTGAAACAGTGTTATTAATTTGAATATTAATCATATTAATGTAAATCTAGACATCCAGAATTGTTATTATTACTTAGGGCTGGGCAGGGTCAAATTGTAGTCCTTGGTATTGCCCTTGTGCAGCATGCAGGTCACAATATTTGTTAGTACCTATAAGATTCTAGCATCTCAAGAAGTTCTGCCTTATCTTTCATATGTATTGTCCGACTACAGAAATCCGTGTGCAATTGAGACATCGTATCAATTTGACCAGAGCAATAGCAATAAGTAGCGATCAAGTTAGGTAGTTTTTAGCTTTTTTCTAATATACTTACTCTCAGGTATTTGAATCAGTGCGCATATTCATGTTTTCAGAAAGCATTTCATTTACATGTAACCTGCACGACTGTCTTCCCTTTCAGAGGAACAATAACTAGTGAAGGCACCCACTGGGATTTGGAAAAGTGCGCTCTACACATGACATTCCCTCGTGGTGCTGTATCTGAGCCCACCGTGATAGAGGTCCACAAATGGAAACCCACTGCTTGTTCACCCCAACTCCAAGAACATGAAGCTGTTTTCAGCAACGTAATTGAAATCTCGACGAGGAGTGATGAAGTTCTGGAATTCGAAGCCGAGGTGAAACTGACACTCTCTCACAGTGCGGCTGACCTACATGGCTATGAACTGGTGATATTCAAGTTAACTAACAAGGAGACAAATGAATGGGAGGACGTACTTGGAACTGTAAAGTTTCAGAGTCTGTTAGGTTAGCAAGCTTCCTTTTTACTTTCCACACGCCTTTATCTTAGATTAACGATGTGGAAGTACGTTGGTAGAATGGTTAATCCATTGTAATTGGGATTCCTCCACCTTGAAGATGCAGATACTGCCAAGCTATTGGCCAATTTGGGAAGATGCCCTTAGTTATTTTGCCGCTGAGCTTGCACCCACCCGCAACTTGACTAGCGATCGACTAGGCTATTTTTGGTGCGCCAGTTTTCTCGATGCGCTCCAACTAACTGAACGCCTGGAGGAGGTTAGTGGTAATCTCTCATTTTTCCAATTTTTGAACATGTGTAGAGTGCTCACATAATATAATTAGCCAATCGAATTTGTCGAACTAAGCTCTGGCTCTGCGCAGATTGACCGTAAGTCTGTAAATGGCAACGCTCAAATTAGAACTGGCCAGAAGTTGCAAATTTTGGTTTTACGCTAAAGAACTGCGATCTCTGTAGGAGAAAATGGCTCATTATGTCATATTTCTTTTTCTCAACATATTAATAACAGAACTTGAAGACGAATATCCGTCGGGCAAAGATATTCCTGACTTTCACTTCCCCATTGTGCAAGCTGAGATAACAGAATGCTCAACATACGCGGTAGTCTGTCGACTCAAGCCATCTCCATCTTATGAAATTACATCTAACGGTGGTTCCTTTAACCTGCCTGAATATCCAAATGTATGCGTTACCATCCCTACGAAGGCTGTTGCGCCAAAAGCAAAGATTCCGCTGCAAATAAAGGTAGGCGTACTTTCACGGGGTAGTGCANTGTATGCGTTACCATCCCTAAGAAGGCTGTTGCGCCAAAAGCAAAGATTCCGCTGCAAATAAAGGTAGGCGTACTTTCACGGGGTAGTGCATTGGTGATCGACCATGTAATCTCCTTTCACTACGCTAGAAATACTACCACCAGTTACGAGTTTGGGCTAAATGTGTATAATTCTACATATCTGTGCAGTGAAACTATTACGATGTGACCACCTAGCCCACTATCGCGGTTGCTTTGGCCAGAAGAGAACTTAGTCAGTCTCTAGCTATATAGTCTTTCAAGCATTTGTTAGGTATGTCTTGAGATCATGGCTCTTTGTTTGTGTCCTCGCGCTTCTAGGTGCACGAAATTCCTCGTGAGGAATTTAAAGGCCAAGAGGTTGTGGTCGGACCTATTTTGCGAGTCTCCTGCAGTGAAGTCGTCGAGTTCTTGAAGCCCGTCACGATCCAGTTACCAGTTTCTCTAGGAGACGAACAGCTCGACATTCCTGACGTGTCAAAATGCCATGTTAGAGTACTGTTTCTGAGGTCCGAGGAAGAACGAAAGGAATGGGTTGAAATCACTGAAGATGTAAGGAACTCGACTAGATTTGACGGCAAGACGGTCAAATTCCAGGTCCAGCGTTTCTCTGGGTGCGAACGTAACTCAACTTTGTTTACAATTCACTCAGTACAATCTGTGGAGTGATTTATCTTTCAATAATTTCAAAGATGACACCATCACTCTTGAAACTTGCTCTATCTGAGAGGTGAAGCCGTCGGCAACCGAAAGTTTGTTTTCTCTTTGATTTGCACAAACGAAGTGGAAAGGTTTGGTTTTAGAATTGTAACTGGACGGGTTTGTTAAAAGAAATTGACAATATACATAATCATTTGGCTTGTTCTTGTAGCTGATATAACGCGCGCTCTGATTGGCTAGGGCATTATTCTCTCGTAATGCCCACGTGCCGATTACGAGTTTGCAAAAGCAAAGCAAAAAACATATAATAAACAAGTTATTATCCTCGAACGTTTGGTTCTTACAGAAAAATCTCAAAGCTCGGCCTTTCCGTATTGACCGAGCGTTAGCAATTTCTCGGTTTGAGATTTTCCCGTAAATCTTAATAAGTAGTTAGTTAGGAGAGAATCGTTGAATTTCTGTGGAGAAAAAGACTCTTTTTTGCTTCCCTTTTCCCGCGCTATTAACTGTCGAATTGAAAATTTACTTCAAAGTCTTAATCTTGATTATTGTATGTTATGTCTAAGGGCTACATTCTCTCAACCTTCTGCTTTCAAGTCTTAAAATACTTCAATCTTTTTTATTTCTTTCAGATACGCGTGTCTTCTTGACTGGCGCGTAAAAGATTTGAGCGTTGCTGGAGTTATTAGGTATCTGTCGAGCCTTATTTTGTGCCCTCCACAGCTAGCAGTGTTCTTCGCTTACTTTCCTCCAGAGGAACGACCTGATTCGCAAGATATTTTGTTCCTCATTTGTTGTGCCTCTCACCTAAGACGGCAAGTGACAAAAGAGTTACAAGAGAAGAACATTAACTTCCCAAGCTACGTCGAATCGAAGAAAAAGATGATATCGGGACACGATAAGGCATATGTTTCTCTCTCAGGGGGGATCAGGGCACTTGACGAAGATGACATGGAAAACGTCCATCTCAGGTAACTAGGTTATGGATACATACCAACAACAACCTAGCCATTTTGTCAAGTTTTATAACATGAGAAAAAAAAAAATGTCAATAATCAATTGGTAGTTCAAAATGACTTTATTTCTTTTTCAAAACACTTATAACAGCTCCAAAATTGATTTAGAAAAAAAGAAAACAAAAAGAAAAAACAAAAACAAAAACGAAAAAAAGAAAAAAAAAAGCAAAAATAGATTCAAGAAATGTGAAGAATTTGGAACCAAATTCACCTTAAGTTCAAATTCGCACTAAAACAGCGTTAGCAGTGAGTGAAGAGGCGAACAAATGCCGGCTGGGCCTACTCGGCTCGGCTCGGCTCGCTTTGCTCGCCTCGCGAGTAGGCCCAGCCAGTGTTTGTTCGCCTCTTCACTCACTACTGAAAGGCGCCCCCTCGCCGGCCTCGCGCCGGTGGCGGCGGGACCCTCATTTGCACAGAGAGCCTAACTCTGTATATGATGGTGGAACAGGCGCCAAAAGGGGGCCTTATCGATCTCGCTAAACCGCCAAGCGCCATCTCAAGTTTTTTGCGGAAGTGCTTTGGTAATAAAGTTGGCGAAAAATACATCGCAATCAACGGGGTTTCATTGAAAAAATCGCCAAAACCGTGGTCTTTGCGAGATTATCTTTGCAACGCATGCGGTAAAACATTTACACAATGCCACACGCTTCACGAGCATCGCAAATTTCACTGCCCAAATTTAGTAACAGAAAAAAAAGCCGAAAACCCCATGCCCAAACTGTGACAAAATTTTGCAAAAACTCGGCATGGTAGCGAGACATGCAAAAAACGGGTGCCCAAAGCCAAAGCCTATTAAAAATGCGTTAGAGTCTGATATAAGATGGCCGACGATTGCGAACAAAAACATATCGATCAACTAACAAGCGAGTTCGTCGTGTTTGAAGCCAAGACAGAAAAAGGGGGCTTCGAAGTCGATGAAGTCAATGAAAATTTTGTTTTCAGGGCGCGCAGGAATGCACCGTTGTTAAGGCGCACAGGTATGTGATCTATTGTTTTACACGTGCACACTTATTGTACTATGGCAACCAAAAAGACAGGGGGTTCCCCATCTAATTTGCCTCAAGCATGGCAATGACGACCTCGCGTGAAATATCACGCACGTGTCTCTGCCACTCTGGCGTGAAATATTCATTCACAAGAAACGCAATCAAGTGGAAACTGCCAATCATGTTCTCATAATATGCAAATAAAACTTTGTGTTTTCAAATGTTAATTCGAAGCGGCGGCAAGGTCGGTTATTACTTTTGTAAATTCGGCTTCAACTTTGCCGCCGATATCTTTCTCCATTTTTTCAACATGAACAAGCTTTTCGCTTGACAGTTGGCGAATCAGCTTGGCTCGGACTTGTTCCTTCAGGGAGTTGTTCTGCTCAAACTCGGAAAGAATGATGTCAAACTCGTGGGCAGACACGGCGTTGTTATTCAAAGCTTTGGATAATAATCTGTTGACTGTGTCACGTTTGGCGACGGCAAGCGTGGTAATCTCTTGATCCTTTTTAATTTCTGCCTCAAGTTTCCTGCTGGCGATTATTAGCCCTGAAGAAACGAGAGTGAAACAGCCGCCAACACTACGTAATGGAATTGTGGCTGGCAGGCCAGCCACAGACCGGCGTTGACAAAATCTGGATCGGACCGGATCACGG